TGGGGCAGAGTACCCTGAGTTCCCTGGGGTTCCCTGAAAAGCAGAAGCAGCTTGTACCATCTCCAGAAGTGAGGCTAGGGAAGGGGGAGAGAAGCCCTTCCCTTCTTGCCCAGGTGTGTTGAGATGTGCGGGCATTGCCTCGGTTTCACAGATGAGAAGGCCAAAATCTGCAGGGAAGTTCTCCAGCACTAGATACAGCTTCAAGAAGTGAAAACCCTTGAGTATGCCAGAACCTGCCTATAATCCCAGTACTCGGAGAAAGAGGCAGGAGGATTGCACGCAGTCCTAGAGTTCAAGGCCAGTTTCTAGCTTACAGGCAAGCCAGGCTAGCGTGGCCTGCCTGAGAATGGGTTTTAGAAAAGAGAAAAAGGAATAGAGCCCTAAAGCCGAGGCTTAAAGATGGCGGGAATTTCCTTTTTCTCACATACAAGTCTGCAGGCAGTTTAGGGCTCTCAGGGACCGTATCTTCATCCAGCTTGCCACTCTCCCCTTCTCTGTGGCACTTACACTAGAGTCTGACGGGCTCTAGTGGCCTCAATTCCAGACAGCTGGGTGGATGACGAGATGAAGAAGGAACAAAGGATGAACACCTCTACCTTAAGATGCCGGAAGCTGACTGTATAATCACTTGGCCTAAAGGTCACTGGCCAGATCTCAGGCACATGGCCACGTCTAGAAGGCAGGGAACGGTGGGGTGGGGGCAGAGAAATGTAGGATTATGCCAGGCAGCTGTGTATCCAACTAACAAGCGGGGACCCCCATTTCTAAGAAGGCAGAGGAAATGGCTAGTGTATTGGTTCTCTTGTTTCTATGACAACAGCAAAAAGTGATACAAATGAAGGAAGGGTTTGCTTGTTTGTTTGTTTGTTTACTTAGTTTGGCTCCCAGTTTGAAGAGACACAGTTCATCGTGGCAGGGAAGGGATGACATCAGGAGTGTGGGGCAGCTGGTCACATTGCATCCACAGAAAGCAAAGAGATAAACAATGGTGTTCAGCTTCTTTTTCTTTCGGTCTAGGACCCTCGCCCGTGGGATGATCCTACCCACAGCCAGGACCAATCTTCCTCCTTTAGTTAAACCTTTTGGAAACACCCATGTAGACACTACACAATGGTAGAAGTGTGGCCCCTATACTGTTCTAAATCCAGCCAAGTAGACAAGGCAGATAAACCACTGGATATATTATAGCCATTTCTGCCGCAGGCATCATGGAACAGAAGGGAGAGCAGGAACTCATGTCTCTCCCCCCAGCCTTGGGCCCTCTCGCCCAACCACTCAGAAGGGAGGATGAAGTTCACAGAAACCTATCTCCAAGAGCAAGGGGGGCAGGTAACTTAATTTCCCCCAGCAGTGTACCAAGGTAGGGAGAACTTTCACTTTTTCAAGTAAGGTAGCTCACTGAGCGAGGCAACACACACCTTTGTTCCCAACACTCAGGAGGCAGAAGCAAGTGAATCTCTAAGTTCGAGGCCAGTCTGGTCTACTTAGCAAGTTCCAAGCCAACCAAGGTTCCATTATGAGACCCTGCCTCAAAATATTCAAATCAGCCAGGCAGTGGTGGAGCATGCATGCCTGGAGGAGACAGAGCACTTAGGAGGCAGAGGCAGGTAAATCTCTGTGAGTTCGAGGCCAGCCTGGTCTACAGAGCAAGTTCCAGGATAGCCAAGGCTACACAGAGAAATCCTGTTTCAAACAACAAAGCAAAAATTCAAGTAAAGAGGTGCTTGGAGGTGGTCCTCTGTCCCGGGTCGTCCAGACAACCCATCTCCATGGGGACTGGCTTGAGCTCCTTGCACAGCCTATAGTCATTTCCTTGCAAGCCTCTGTGGTTCGGGAGGAACTGATACGGTCCTTGGGACTCCTAGCCGGGTGGCTCTGAGATAATGAACCGTGAAGCCTTGAGCTTGGCAAACTTGACTCTTAACGCTTGACAGGTCAACAGGAAGCAAGGTCCCTGGTGGAGCCGCTGATGGGCAAATTGCAGGTCTCTTGTGGCATTTGTGCCTTGGGGATATTGTCAGCTGCCACTCCAGGACTTTGGCATAAGTGGCAGGTGCCACCCCTACCCCATCATGCCTCTGCCTGGTGGGGCTGATGGTGTCTCTTGTCACCTGTCACCCCAGCCCCCGGTTCTCCAGGCAGCACGGCAGAACTACAAGCCTTCGGAAGTAACATTTCTCTCTCCCACTCCCAGCCATTCCGTTGGCTCACTTCCCAACCAAGAGTAACTGGATCACGGAGTTGCCCTCAACCCATTGCAAGTGCCCACTCAATGATCCAAGTCCCTGATCACCCCGTGACCTTCAGCTGCCTCCACCCCCACAAACCCCTTCCTCCAGCTTCCCTCTCCACCCACCCACCTTGTGCCTCTCTGAGCAATGGTCCTCGCCACAGGAGCTTGCCACATGCAAGGTCATCAGCATTCCTGCCAAGGATGGGGACGGGGGTGACTCAGTTCCCGCTTGCTCATCTAGGGAAGGAGAATGAAGGAGAGAGGAGGAGGGACAGAAGCCCATTCAGTTTTGCCTTAAGCTTCACCAAGAGGAGGGCTCGGCTTTGCTGACGGTAGAACATCTACTAGCTCCCAGGCTCCAGAGCAAGCTATGGCATAGAGAGGGCACTGCTGAAGCCAGGAAGTACTGAAGGGCAAAGCAACTCTGGGGACCCTGGCACTTGGAGACCAGTGCTTCTCTTTCAGTCACAGTACAGCCTTTGCCCTCAGAAAGATGCTAACCGACGAGGGAGACACAACCTTTACCTCGGTCTGTGTCAACCAAAGAATGTCCAGTCTGTTGAGGGAGGTACAACCCCTACCCCCAGAGGCCCCCCAGACTCTGATGGGGAGACACAAACCAAGTAACTGAAGAGCTCCCTGGTCTGGTGTGCTAGGCTTGCACCAGGGGCAAGCCTGTAGGAGAGACAAGACCCTTACCAAGTTGAGTGGGTGGGTGGGGGGACAAGACAAACCAGAAGCAGGGTCCCCAAACAGCTTGAGAAGGTTGCAAAGTGACACCAAGGTGCTCTAGGGAGGTCAAAGGGTTGGTGTGAGGCAGGACCCTGACCATCGTTTCTTGAAGGACTCCTTTAGGAAAAAGCCAGTCTCCTGTGGGTGATCCCCAAGGCCAGAGTGAGAGAGCAGGGGCATTATGGGACTTGAGGTCTGTCTCTACAGAGGGTGCCATAGCTGTTGCTGCTCAGAAGGGCAGAAGTGGGTATCCTCTTAGCCAGGGAGGTTGAGCGGACCTACTACCCTTGTGAGGATCAAGGGGGCTCATGAACTATCTGAAAAGACGGAGAGGCTAGAGGGCTCCTCCAAGGAATCAGGATTCGGGAAGACATTTGTTAGCCAAATCTGAACTGAGATCAGTCTGGTTGCCGGGGAAGGCAGATAGGCAGGGGAGAGGAGGCAGAGTGTGCAAGAGGGTGAAATGAAGTTATTAAAATGAACCCACCCCCTGTGCAGGCAGCACCGTGTGCCAGAAAGGCCGGGCCCTCCAGCTGTCGGCAGCAGCTGGCTCTCCACAGGAGAAGAGGAGTAGGAGGGGCCGGTCAGAGTGTCCCTGTTCTCGCTCTAGAGTTCAGTGTTCTCACAGAGGTGGAAATGGGGGCGCCTCACAGTTTCTTCTGCTACACCCCACAGGTGCCCTAGGACAGTGTCTGATGAGGGGCACAGGTGGGAGAAGCCTCCGGATTCTAGCAGCCAAGGTTTCTCTTGGTGGGGGTGGAGGATGGGGGGGAGCCCCAGGTCCTCTGACTGCAGTCACAGGTACAGAAGGGAGGGAGGGAGAAGGCTGTGTAGGGGCATGTGTGTCTTAAGTCTGCTCAGAAGAAATGGCTTCAGGATGATTCAGGGCAGAGCTGGAAAGGGAGTGTGCCCCCTCCCCCCGCCCGCAGCCAATCTCGCTTTCTAGGTCATTTCCCATGTAGAGGGGCTGCAGCCAGGTGACTGTGTGCTGCAGAGTGCAAGTGTGGACCATTTGGGCTCAGAGCTTGTGGGCAGAGGGCAAAGACTGGGAGAGGTCAGGCCGCTGGCACCCACTCTAGGACTCTCCACACTACCGCTACACTTCCCAAAGGGACCTTTGGACCTGAGTGCTGACCTCCATAGAAAATAGAGCTAAAAAGACCTCCAGAGGGGATATCCTGGTAGGGGCGCCAGCCCAGGCGTCCATCCATTCTGATGCCTTCTCCAGCAGGAGGGAGAAGTGGCTACTCTCCTGCTCTGTTTGTCCCCAATGCCACCTCAGTCTGTTCCTTTTCCCCCAAGAGGCAGATGGGAGTCACAGCTGGAGAGAGAAGAGAGGAATCTCTTCATCCTCTGGAGCTGGAGCCAAGTTTGCTTAGAGGTCATTGGGCAGGTTTTCAAAGTATGTCAGCATTTACCCAAGCCCAGGGCCGAGATACAGGCCCTGCCCTCCCGTGCTGAGCTAGGGAGGACCCTGAAGGCTGCATGACACCAGCCCTCTGGGTGATTATCAGAGATGTAGGTGCTGTGTGATGCTGGGGGAGAAACAGAAAGAGGCCAGTGAGGCCAGTGTACTTTACCAGGCCATAGAGAAAAACAATGGCAGAGCTGGGACACCATCTACCACTGCCCTCTGCAGGGCCAGAGATGGCAACTCAGTGAGGACCCGGGAGGAAGATTTGGCCCATGCTGACTCTTACCCCCAAGCTGCCCCTTCAGGTGCCGTGCCCAGCCTCAAATGTGTTTGTTTGGGCCCCTGGCACTAAATCTGTTTGCTTACAAAGAGTGTCAGAGAAGGCAGCCCCAAAGCCTCAGGGAGCCCCAGCACCAAGAGTCCTGCAGCTTTGGTCCCCATCTGGAAAATGCTAGTCAGAAAGGGCCCCAGGTCCCTCTCCCCTGGATAACTCAGAATGCGCTGCCCTGGGAAAGCTTTATTCTCTGCTCCAAGGACAAGACTCTGCACACAGAAGTGACAGGGCATTTCACAAGACTTCCAACCCCTCCCCCCACCCCACAGACAACACTAGGGCACAGTTCCAGCATGGCCACACAGTCTAGCCTCCTGCGCCCCACTCTGCCGATAGTCCCACGGCCCAGAGGAGGAATTCCCATTCCTATTGCGGAGTCCCCCGTCTGATATGAGGAGCGGGCTGGTGAGGGAGCACTCTCAGCAGGGTTAGGGCGGAGAATGGGCACGCAGCACACAGGCAGGCTTCTGCTCACTGCCCTTCATGCTAAAAGGAACTAAAGGTCCTGTCTTGGCTGAAGGACGGAACGGCGTGCCATCAGCAAGACAGCAGGGGAGAATGCTGGCGGGAGAAGGGGTGGCCTGGCTGGTGACAGGGAGTCATGACAGCAAAGACCTGAGGGTAGGGATGAGGTCACCACTTCAGCCTCACTGTAGGAAAGGGGTTCCGGGCTGCCCACTGCCAGCCCCATTGGAGGAAGCCACTGAGCCGTTCATCCCAAGTTGTCTACCTGACCTACACAGTAGACACCCCTTTGTCCACTGCTGTCCTCTTTCCGAATGGCAAGGAGAGAGAGAGCCAAGGTCTTTTCTGTGGCTTGATCTGGGGCCACCTGGCCTGTCTGCCCAGGGGCCTCAAGGCCCAGTGTCAGCTTTGGACCAGTGGGAAAACTCTCTAAGGCTGCCCAGAGCCCATTCCTCCTCCATAACAAGTACATTCTAACCTCAGGTTGGGGCCAGCACTGGGGACCCTTCCCCCACCTGACCTCTCGTCCTCTCCACCCCCTCCCTTCCTGAGGCCCATCCCTTTCCCTGACCAGCGCCCAGACAGCCGGCCTCCTGCACAGGCCTCTGCGACCCATCGACCCATCTAGGTCACCCAGATGGGTAATAGGGGGTATCGCTGTGGTAGTTGTAATCTGGGCACACCTTCTGCACCAGCCGATAGTCCGTGCTGTAGAAAGCGATGTAGACACAGACAACTTTAAAGGGCTGGGAGCAGCTCCAGGTGGCCGAGCTCTGAGCGTGATCTCGGGAACAGATCTTGGCTGGGTCGTGGGTACAGAGCGAGGTCCGGCGGCCCCGTTCTACTTTCTCCCACTCCATCCGGCAGTTGAAGATTTTGGAGGCCTTGGCTTCGATGAAGATTTGCTGTTCCTGGTGGAACTCTACAGCTTTACTGGGGGGCACAAGGCTGATGGAGATGTTACCCTGGCCTGTGGCGTTGTGACGGAAGTGGACGCTGAAGGTCCCGTTGCCGTGGTCCACAATCTTCCCCGTGACCAGCAGGTTCAGGGCCACTGTCTTGATGTTGGAGTAGAAATCACCCCATCCAAATATTTTTTTTACCTTGGTCGAGGGTAGGGGGCTTTGCTTGGGGCGGTTGGGGGGCTGCCCGAGGACACCCCAAACCTCCCCAGGTGGGGCCAGCAGCCCTAGGAGTGTAGAGTTGGCCAAGGGGCGAGACTTAGGTGAGATGTGACCTCGCTTCCGAGGCACCCTGGGCCGAGGCTGGCCTTCATGGTCATCATGCTCAGAGTCCTCTGAGCCAGGGGGGCCATCATCTTGGCCACAGATGACCTATGGGGAGTTGGAAAGAGGATTAGAGCTTTGTCCCCAGACGACCCAGGGGATTTGAGATCTGGCCCACCACCTATCACCGTCTCTCCAGGGTCTCTGTCCCTGTCTGACCCAGGCTAAGGGGACACCTGCTTGTTCCCTTGTGCTGGGGTCAGGGGTATACCATGGCTCCCTTACGATCCACATTCATGCTCTGATACTTCAGTCACCTCCTTTCTTTACTGCCCAGCCCCTGGCCCCTATTCAAAATCTGGAAGGATGGTCAGGATGTCTCTCCCCTTCATGGACTAGGATATCAGAGACACACAGGTCTCCTCTCCAGATAAGCCCCAGTTAAGTGGGAAGGGCTCAGCTTCTGATCTTGCAGAAGCCCCCAGTCTGAAGGCGAGGAAGACTCCCTACCCTCGAAATGGCCAAGATGCCAGGGATGCATTATTCCTGTCCACAGGAGTCCTTCACCTGGAGTTGGGGAGTTGCAAGGTATTTGGGGAGCACCATCCCTATCTTAGAGCTCCCTTGTGTCAACACACACATATCTCATGCTGTTTAAGACATTTTGGTCTTCTGACTGAGATGCCACTCCTAGCCTAACTGCTGGCCTGTGGACCATAAAATAGGACTCTAGAACCCAGTGACAGTCCTGGTCAGGAATCAGTTTGGTCCAGGTTTAGCTGAGACTAGGAGACCCAAGTACGAATGCCACACCTAGGATGGCCAAGCTTGTGGAAGCAAAACCCTTCTCTGGGGAACACTGGTGACGACATGCCAAGACGGCACTTGCATGATGAGGGACCAGTTCTTGGGAGTCCCATCTCCCAGGTGAAGACATCAGGATGTGCCGGTTACATCACCACACGACACGGGCCACAAGTGTCCAGTCACAAGGCACAGACCAGATGTACCTTTGCAAAGGACTTTTACCGAAACCCTGTTTCCCACCTGGAATGTCCTGTCAAACTCTGCCAGGGCTTGTCTTGCCTCAGCAGGCTCAGCTATGGTGACAGGCCACACCTTGGGGAGGCTTTCTAGAGGAAGGTGGAAAGAACAGGCAGAACTCGACAGGGCAACGGGAGGTTACCTGGCTCCCTCGACTCAGTGGCCTGGATGTGTTTGCTCAGTTTCTGAAACCGAGTTCTCACCAGTGTGTCTATGTCACCAGCGAGGAGACACCAGTTCAGCTACCACATCTGGATTGATGATGACATGGGTGGGGCCGAAGGATTACTGAGGAGCTGGGATGGGAGGTTCCATAAAGGGTTAGTCTTTACGCCTCTTGCTTTGGCCTTGGCTGTGCCTATGGCTGTGCGCTGTAACCGAGCCAGTATCTGTCCCGCAGTTAAGGCTGGCCCTGCTTTCCAGGTTCCCAGCGCCTTCAGGGTCAGGAAAGGCAGGAAGGGAGACTCCTAGGGCTGGGTTCAAGGCTGCCCACTTGTTCGTACTTGGCTCTAGGTTTAATCGAATGGTTGAGATAGTCAATAGCTCAGTAGTGAACAGGGCCACAGATAAGGGCCAAGCAGGGAAGGCTTCCTTCCCAACAGTGGACTGGGGGTGGGAGGGTTGCTGTCAATGGGAATCATTTTGAGGAAGGGGGCACATCTAGTGGCGCTGAGGCTTCTCCAGGACAGGATTGGGATGGGGGCAGCTGTGGGGCGGCGGGCATGAGTCGCGGGGGAGTTAAGCTCTGGGCTAGGGTCCGGGGTGGGGTTCTAGGGCATCCTGGGTCGCGGGGGAGCGGGCTTTAGGCGCTCAGCTCAGCTGTTGTGAGCGCCTGGGGCGGGAGCCGCCTGCCCAGGTCCTGTGGGGCTCGGGCTGCGCGCAGCCGGGAGAGGCGAGGAAAACAACAGGCGAGGAGGGAGGGAGCGGGAGGGACGGCGGGAGGCAGGGACGCGGGGGCCGCCCCCAGTCCGCCCGGGCTTGGCGCGCCAGGGCCCACAGTTTGGGGTCCTCTGGGCCCTAGAGGTCAGAGGAGAAACCCGCGTCCCCTGATCCGGCAGGTCACCTGCCCCACCCCCGTCCCGCGCGTCCTGGGATGCTACGAGAGGACGGGTAATCCTTGGCGACTCAGCTGTGAGGGCCCTTTTCCCTGGTGTCACTCGCACCTCCCGCCATCAGCCGCGGAGTGGGTGGGCCAGCCAAGCACCCTCCTCTCCGCCCCTATTAACCCTTCCTGTCCAGCCTCCGGCCTCGGACCCGCCCTCTCCCCCAGCCTCCAGCGTTCGTCCGCAGCCCCGGGATGTCAGGATGGGGGGGAGGGAGAAAGTTTCAGGGCTCCGCAGCTTCCCGCGCTCTCCCCATCCTCTGGCCCCCGCCCTGCGCCGCTCCCCGTGGACCACTCACCAGATAGAGGCTGCCCTGCACTAGGAACACGAAGCAGCAGCGGGTCAGTTGCATCTTCCTCCTCCGCTCTCACCCGTCTCTTTTTTCCTTTCGGGGTCCCTGGCCCCCTCTTCCCCGGGCTGCTCCTTCAGGCGCGCTGTCCCATGCTCAGGTCCCGGTGGCTCGCGGCCCTCCCCTCAGCCCGTCGCTGGGACCGACCCCGCCCCCTTCGGTCCAGCTGTGTAGCCGCCGCCCCCTCCCCGCGTCCAGCTGCGCGCTGCGCGGTCCTTCTCCCGGTGCCAGATGTGAGCCCGGAGCGTCTCGAAGGGGCTCCGGCTGCGCGGTGACTCTGACGCTCCAGACAGGCGCTCGGCGCCCCGCTCGCTTCCAGAGGCTCGGCTCTCGCCCAGATGTGCTGGGGACCTGCGCGCGCGCCCGTCCCCGGTGCTAATTCCCCAGACCAGACGGCCCCTCCCGCCCCGTCGCGGCGCGCCCCCTGGCGGACGCCCCGGGCCAAACCGAGCCGCGGCCGCCCGCTCCCCGCGCTGCGCCCCGCCAGACTGGAGCGCTCCTGGCGCCCAGGCGGCTCCCGCTTCCTCGTCCCTCCCACTGGCGGCGGCGGCGGCGGCAGGTACCGTGAGCCCAGTCGGTACCTCCGGAGTTAACTCCTCCCCTGCCGGCCCGCAGCCAGGGGACCTGGGACGCCGACTTTCCAGGGGAGAGGACAGGAGGCGGACAGAGGAGCCCTGGGAGAGGAGGCAAGAGACTGGAAGACTGCTGATGGGGACACAGCTTTTCCGCCCTTCTGACAGTGCGCCTCATATTCTGTAGCGGACATTGGGGTTCTGTTGCCCTACCTATCATACCCATAGGTGTCCTGGAATTTGGAAAGACAATTCTGTCCAAACCCATTTTAAGGGTCTAAGGATATCAACAGCGGGCCACAGAGGCTGATTCCTGCAAGACTTGATGAGGGTGCTGAGGGAAGTTCTTCTAAGTGTCTAGCTCGCACCCCTTTTCTTAGCATGGCCTTTCTTTTTCCTAGAAGATCTCAGGACCTCGGAGCAATCACTATGAAGCGTTTGGTTGAGGCGCTGGCCAGAAGAGACCACTAGGGGCCAGGCTGGATTCTGGGGTTAGGGTAAGAGTTTGCCTCCTGAGAAACGGCATTAAATGGGATGAATAAGGCCTCTTGGAGGCTGTTCTTCCAATTCTTTCTTACCCATTCCCTATCACATAGGTGTTCATTAGGCTGGGGGGAGGCACCCAGTGGGGTCCCAGGTTGCCCTGGTCTCTTCAGATCTCCAGGGCAAGAAGGACTAACCTAGACAAGAGATTCCCAAAGATGCAGGACCACCTTCATCACTCGGAGCACTGTTAATAGCTAGACCTCTTCCTAGCTCTCTAGAACTCCTTCAGTCCAGAGATAAACAAAAGGTCGCATCCTCGGATCCCTAGGAGGCATTTGGAGTGGCCCCAGTCTAGGCCAGGCCTGTGGAAGGTTCTCAGCACTCTCTTCTGCGGTCCCTCTGAGATCCAGTGTGGTCCCTGGCTGCAGCCCCCAGCTCACACCAGCCTCCTCCCCCACCATCTGCCAGGCGTTGTGCGAGGAATGCAGATGAATCTTAATATCGGCCTGGGCCAAGTGCAAAGAGGGAGAGACTGCAGAAGGAGCTAGCCTGGATGAGCCCCTGTCTCCTGGATGCCCTGGGCCTTCTGTCCGGTGTGTGTGTGTGTGTGTGTGTGTATGTGTGTGTGTGTGTGTGTGTGCGCGCGCGCGCGCATGCCTGTGTGTGGTGTGCACAAAGATTCCCAAAGCCACGGGGGAGGAAGAAGCAGGTAAATTTTCGTGTGGCCTTGGAGCCTCTGGTCCAGCTGGGAGGAAGATGCTGTTGGTCTGAGCGTGGGCAGCTTGTTCCCGCTCTCAGCTAGGCAGAGGTGTAGCTGGGCCCACTCCTTGCCCATTCCAAGTCCTGCTCCCAGGAGAGCAGCGTGGCCCAGCAGAAGGAAGCTTAGATTCCACCCGAGACACCTATGCGCTGTGTGACCTTGGGTAGGTTACTTCCAGGCTCCTTCCAGGCTCTGATGCCAGTTTTCAGATCTGTCGTTTAGGGAAGGAGAGAAGACACAATGTGTAAACCCATTGCAAGCCCCACGGCTAGCGGGCATCGTGGGAGTGCAGTAAAAGGAAGGGTTCTCTTTTGCACTGCCCACACATTTGCTCGGTCTGTTCTTCCTGCCAGGCTTGCCCTCGCTTCCCTCTTGGACACTCCTGGCTCCCACTTCCTCCAAGTTTCTTCTCTGCCTTTATCCATCAGCCACTGGTGGAGCCTCTCCTCTGTGCCAGGCACCAGCCAGGGCCTGGGCTCCAGAGATGAATGGAACACCGTCCCTGCCCTCAAGGATCTCCCTCTTTGTGTGAAAATCCATCATTATAAGTCAGTGAGTGTGAAGGCAGTCTCCAGAAAGCATTGAGGATGCACCCGGAAAGGCGGGAGAGGGACAGGAAGGTCAGGGCTGACCTTCCCCGGCTAAGAGGTCAGGAGGAGTAGGTCTGGCAAGGGCTATTCCTCTCAGGGGGTGAGGGAAGCTAGAAATGACAGCATTTCGCTGTTCTGAGAGTGCCTCTCCCAGGGGAAGACCAGAGGCAGAGACCAGCCATGGGGGGCTTATGTGTCAGCTGAAGGGGTCTGGAATCACGTTTGTGGGGAAGCTCAGGAGGGTTTTAAGGCACTGGTTCCAGTCGGGCTTGCATTTTGGGCAGCTCTCAGAGCGTTCACTGGAAAGAGGAGGGGGAACGGAAGCAATTAGAAGATTGGGCTGGGGGCCTGAAGACATCAGCATCTGGCAAACCTGGAGACAAAACCAGTCAGGCTTTGGCTGATGCCAGATGCAGGGAGGGGTGAGGGTGCCACGCAGTGTCCTGCTTTGTGTGACAGGCTGTGTGACGGACGGGGGAGGGAGGGGGGGATAAATCTCTGGTGTGTGGAGCAGGGTGTCGTGGAGGAATTCAGCTGTGGCGATGACGTATCTCTATACTGCTGTTGGTCACTCAGGGGCCCCAGAAAGTTTGCCCTGGGGTGTGGAGGGGGCTGGGCAAGATGTAGGCACAAGAGGAGGAGCCCAGGGCAGTCTGACATTTAAAAAGTTGGCGAAGGAAGAGAATTCCCAGGTGCTCTTGGGCAATGCAGGCAGTCAGGAGCAAAGTGGGCCAGGAGACCTTTCTGGAAGCTGAAGGAGCAGGAGCTCTCTCAACTGGCGTGCCATGCAGAGGGGCAGAGTGACAGCCTCCACCATGAAGGCCCCGGGGTTCCTCATTGGGGGAATAGGAGCCCAGTACTGTATATCTTTACAAGCTTTTAACCCCCAACCAGGTAGCCTCCAGCTTTCTGAAAATATGGATGCAGCTCTGTTGGCAGATTGCTTGCCTAGCATACATAAAGCCCTGGGTTTCGTCTCTAGCATCCCGTAGACAAGGATGGTGCACACCTGTAATTCCAGCATTTAGGAAGTGGAGGCAGAAGTAGTTCAAGGCTACTCTCAGCTACTTAGTGTTTTGTTTTGTTTTCCGAGACAGGGTTTCTCTTTAGCTTTGGAGCCTGTCCTGGAACTAGCTCTTGTAGACCAGGCTGCCCTCGAACTCACATAGATCCACCTGCCTCTGCCTCCTGAGTGCTGGGATTAAAGGTGTGTGCCACCACTGCCCAGCTACATAGTGATTTTGAAGGATTTTTAAAAATTTTTGTTTTGTTCTTAACGTTTGCCTACATGTATATCTGTGCACTACCTGCTTGCCTGGTGCCTGTAGAGGCCAGAAGAGGGAATTAGATCCCCTAAAACTGGAATGACAGACGTTTGGTTGTAGGCTGCTGTGTGGGTGCTGGGAGTCGAACTTGGGTCCCCTGGAAGAGCAGCTGGTGCTCTTCTTTTTGCTGGTTTTGTTTTGTTTGGTGGTTTTTTTTTTTTTTTTTTTTTTTGCAACAAGGCCTCACAACGAGCTATGGCTGATCTGGATATGGCTAGGTAGATGAGGCTAGCCTCAGACCCTCAGAGATCCTCCTGCTTTGGCCTCTCCAGTACTGGGATTCAAGGCAGAAGTCACCCCGCCTAACTCAGTCATTGTTCTTAACCACTGAGCCATCTCTCCAAACCCCTACATAGTGATTTTGAAGTCAGCTGGGTTACCCAAGACCACATCTGAGGTAGGAAGGAAGACTGGATGTCATAGTGCACACCTTTGATCCCAGAACTTGGGAGGGCAAGGCAGGCAGATCTTTATGAGTTTGCGGCCAGCCTGGTCTACGTAAAACCCCATCTCAAAGGAGAGAGAGAAAGAAAAACTCTGCTATGGGGAGTGTTGGAAAGGAGGGGATGACCCGCAGCACAAAGGAACAAAGGAATGCTGGGAATGCAAGGAAAGGAGAAAGGTGACCCTCGAGGGCATCGAAGAGTGGGAAGACAGGCCACAGACACAGTGCCCTCTGAACCAAGCACCGTGGTGGTGGCATAGCGGTGATTCCCAAGGTCACATCTCCCTGTGCCCCAGGTCCTTGCCATATCATGTTTTGCACACAGCAGATACTCAACAAAGGGAGAGAGGCTGAGTGCCCAAGGCCTGCCAGGCCCAGCCCCCTCTGCACCCAAATGCTCCTGGCCCAGCATTTGCTCGTCACCTCTTTATGCTCTTCCCTGCCATGAGTCTAGTCTCCGCTGTTTCCCCCTTGCCTCCCCAGCACAGCCCCAGGAAAACAGCACACTGGCCTCTGGTCTGTGCTCAGCCAGTGTTTGAAAGGCAGACAGACAGTGTCTGGAGTGGTGTGAGGGAGAGAAGAGGCTAGCTCATAATCATTCATAATCTCCCCCGTTTAGATGTCAATTTGCATTTTAAAGAGTTAGGATAGAAAGTTTCATATCGGGCATTAGGGAAGCCCAGGGGGAAAAGCCAAACTTAAATAGGGGGGGCCGACATGGTCCCAGAGAGATGAATGGGAGATGTGTGGAGCGGAAGGGGGAGAAAAGAACCTTCTAGGCAGATGAAGCAGATCGAGGAAAAGCCACAGATGAAAGACAGCCCAGGAGTGGGGTTCTGAGGGGGCCAGATGAAAGAGTCATTTGTTCCACGGATACTTATCAAGTGTCTACTTTTATGTCAGGTCC